GCAGCGCGGCCCCGCCCGGGCGCGGGGAGGCCCCGCGGGAGCCCGCGGTTGTTGAAAACCTCCGGAAACAGCAGCGGTGCCTTAGGCTTCGCCTCCAAGCTGCGAGCCTCTAGAGGTAACGAATGGGGTTTTGTCCCTTTGAAAAGAGGCACAGAGTTTTCCCAGCTTTGCTCCATGGCCATTTGGATGTTGCATTGCCTAAAGTGGTTTTTTGGGTTGGTTTTTTTTTTTTAAACGTACCCTAGTTGCGAGGCAGCAGTGTTCTTGCCCCGCCGATGGCACCACGCAGCCTCAGCGGCGTGAGCCGGGGCAGGAGCTAGTTGCAGGCTGCAGAGCTTCCTGAATCAGCTGTGAAACGGTGCAAAATGGGTCCTTTTGCATTATATTTGTACGTGCCTAAGCATGTTTACTCTCAGACCTGAACAGAGGTTCCTGGCAACAAAGAAACGGTACTCACTTTGGCCTCTTGTGTTTGCAGGTGCGCGTTTTGAATTCAGGGAATTGTGGCACCTGCTGTCACAGAGCTGCGGGTTTATTGTAGTTGCAGACTGTGGTGAGGTAGAAGAATAAATGTGAATACTGTGATTCTATGAATAAAGGTAGTAAAGGAACTGCCATAGATCAGATAGTTTGGAGGTGGAGGAAGTGTCTGATTATTAATATCTTAAAAGTGTTTCATAGTGTTGTGTCCCCTGGAAGTGAATGGAAAAACGTGATGCTAAAATGACAGAAGCCAAAAAGTTGTCTGTTGTGACGTCAGCGTTGCTCCAGAACTGGCACAGTTTTTCCAAAATCTCCCAAATGCAAGCAAGAGAACAGGGAAAATTTAGAACTTTTGGGGGAAAAGGAAAAGAGGAAAGACATATTAATGGAAGGAAACAGAAAAGTCCCCTTGTTTAGAGAAATCAGATCCTGATTTTAAAAGCTATATAAGCTCTTTTTTTGGTCTGTAGAGATTACCTTAAAATCAAGGAGAATATCAGGGGCTCCCATATTTCAAAATCAGATTTGCCGATCCAGATTTACACGTGTGACATTTTATCGGTTTGAGTTAACTGTCATTGTGGTGGTACAGACTTAATTTGACATTTAATAACGATGCCTATGTTTCCAACATAATAATTTGTTAAATATATGATATATAGTGATGTGGTTTTAAATCTGTTTAAACTTAAGCTTAATTCAGTATTTCAGTCAGCATAAATGTATCAATGGAGACACTAAAATTTCACCTGTCATGAAAATATGAATTTCATGTTATTTCTGCAGTGTATGCAGCAATAGATTTTTGTGTATTTTGTGATTGTTATAGAAGTTTAATATTTTTTGTGGATTTTGGCATAGTTCTTGCACTAAACATACTACATGTTCTATCTATTAAGACTTGAGATTAAGTCTTCAGCAGAAGTAACGTACAGATTTGATTGTTGTGGGTTGCCAAAGTCAATTTGTGTATTTTCCTAACTTTAGATAACTTTTGCTTATATAAATCAAATGTAAAGGCAGTAACATTTGCTAATACATAAAATGGTAAACACATGTGAGTAGTAGAAACAGGAATTGGTTCTTTTGCCAGGCCTAAATTGCCTTGGTTTTCAGTGTTTGACTAATATAACTATACTTTCTTTGAACTTCATTGTGCAGTGGTTAAGACACAGCCTTGATCAGTGGGCTAAAGAGCATGGGTCCTTTTCAGTCCCCCCCGAATAGTCCCACTTGTTCAAAAAGGCAAGGTAATATCTAGAATGTGTATGGAAGTTGCAGCGTGCTTGTCTTAACTCATTTTCCTACTGTAAAATGCATCATAAATAGGTCAGAAGAATAAATCCTTTCTTATTGTTGAAGCAGTTGGATGCTATGTTCATGGAGACTGTCAAGAAGATTCATGCTTGCATTGAGTTGCTTCTACATTCAGAACTTTGGTAGTTCTAAAATACCTTGCGTGCATTTGTTTGTGGCTATTTGGAAAAAATATTCTATATTGCTTTGTTTGATTTCAGCATTCAGTGAATGTACTGCAATTAGTCTGTCAGTATTCTGTGTCTTCGTAGCGTTGAATTACGAAGGTCTTAATTTTAGAAAAGGTTCTCCTCTTCTTCATGGCTATGGTTAGGTTTTCATTCTTTTGCATGTGTAAGGAATTTTTTTAGAATGAGATGTGTCCTCTATGTTTTACCTGTAAGTACCTATGAGTTTCACAAACCCATGGAGTCAGAGCATTTTAGAACCAATACTTATTTTTATTAACTGTAAAGCTTTTACATTCTCAATTTGCCTTTTAAAGGAAAAAATATGTAGTAGTTCTTGGAGCCTTGTTAGTCAAAGTAAAAGACTTACTAACACAGTCAATTATGAACTTTAAAAGCAGTTGTTACTGAGTTGTATTAAAGCCCACGTCATATTGAGTAATGTCTTGATGGAGATATAACCATATCTGGTATTTAAGGGAGAGCTACTAAGAACTAGGAAAGGAGACTTACAAGCAGAGAAGTTAATTCAAGATACATATTCACTAAAATCAACAGTAACCCATAATTGTTTGAAAAACTGCTTTCAGTTTTTATTGTAATTGAGATGCAGCCTATTAAATAGAAGAGTTTATAGACTTCTCTAATTAGAGCATTTTATATGGAGTGAAATGATATAAATATGGTGTATTGTGACCTTTGCTGTAAAAAGACAGAAAAAAAAATCTGCTACAGGTTTTCTGCTGTAATTCTCAAATCAATCATTACTTTTTCTTTTCTTTCTTTTTTTTTTTTTTTTTGTATATACAGAATGTCAGTGGCCACTTACTGTATATTTTGCTATAGACAAATAGGAACTTCTGGTCCAGCCACAAAAACACACCTACCATGGAATGATATCAGTAAGTACAGTTCTATATGGAAGTGTTTTATGGAGGTTTTATTTGCCTAAAGTAGATGTCTGCTTCTGACCTTGCTTTGCATAGTGATATGTAAAATGACACCAGCGGATTATCTGGGATTAGAATATGAGATGAGGGGGTGTGTCCTCAGATGCAGTCTCATTAAACTATCTTCAACTCTGTTTTTTTTTTTTTTTAACTTCTAGAGCTATGAAACAATTACATCCATAAAGTTTGAATAAAGTTTGTTTCTTCCTCCTTATTTACTGATACTAGTTCTGTAGTCTTCCCTGCTTAGTCTCTGTTTGCTTTGGTGCCTTCTGTATACAAGGACAATTCTTACGATTCTAAAATTTGGTTTTGAGCATTAAAAGATAGGATATTTCCATTTCTGCTCTACAGGAAGCATTGCATTTTTTTGCCTTTTCAACCTTCTCTGCCAGTTACTTCTTCAACATGTAGCTACCTCTTGTCTGCATGCCAAAATTCTTATGGTCTCGCAAAGAAAGAACCTGGTGGCGGTGGTTGTGGGGCAAATCTCCCAATTCATGCTGAGGAAAAGAAATTATTCATGATAGGTGAGATATGTTCCATTGGGTTTGCTGCTACTGGTAACAGTAAGAGTTTCTCTGTGTTGAGATCCTTACATCCAGATAATCAGCTCAATTTTGTCCAGATAAAATAGCTCAAATCTGACAAGAATCCTTGGATTCAAAAAGGAAATTGTTGCAAGTGGCATGTGTTTATTTAGCTATTTGCTTTATAAATTAGATTCAGTGGAATTATTATTTAAATATTTTTTCTCAGGGAATTTCTGCAGGACTTTTCAAAGAACATACATACTCCTATAGGTATTCATGTATATTGAAAAAATATCCATGCCATGTAAGAAAAAGTTAACACGTTAAAATAATCTGGAGTTCCAAATGAATGCTAGTGATGCAGGTAGAGAAAGTTTACTGTTGATTGCTACAGCTGAGCAATGAATGTAATCGATAGGTAGCACTACTCAAAGTAAATAACACTGATACATGTTTATCATCTTGTGTAGGAGAGCAGGAAATTCCAATCACATAATGTTTTCTCTGTAAATTTAGATAATGATTTTCTGAAAGCCAGAAAGCAATAGAAAAATTTACAAAAGCTTACTCTTAATGGCTGAAATTCTTACTGTCTGGTTATCAACTATGTTTATATTGAGATGATGCACACAACTTCATTTGACATGAATTTTTAATTTTTTTCAAGGAAAAATTGCAAAGATAACTGGATCACTTATACTAGGGTAAGTTGTAACTGACAAGTGTATGTGTAACCTATGTATACAGTTAAAATTTTAATTTACTTCCAAAAAGTGTGACAACGTTAGGGGACCTTTAGACATGGTAGAATATAGTTTTGAAGCATATTTTCTGATAGTAATTACTTATTTTAAGTACTTTAGAGTCTTTTCTGTACTTTGCTAAATTAAAATAATCTGCAGACTATTATGTATTTGGTAAAAATCTGGAGGATTTATACCAAAATGATTGTTAAGGCATTTTTGCTATCGTAATTTTTTAAATTTATATTCATATGCAGTTTTCTTTTATTTAAAGAGGTTTTGTATTCATTACATATGAAGTCCTGTCCTTAAAGAAGTTACTGCAAATCGATACTCAAGCTATACATCAAGAAAAACTTAAATCCTATGTATACGTACGTACAACTTCTCTAAATCCAAGTGAATATCAAGGTAAGATATATAATTGTTTGGATTCTACGTACAATTCTCTATATCAGAGAGAATTCTATATATGTGTGTGCATATGTACGTGTGTATATATTTCATATATATATATATATGAAAAATAATGTAATAGAACTGTTTTTCCGACTTCCAGTAATCTAAAAATACTCTCTTAGGGATCACATACCAAGCTAGAAAAGAAATCCATAGAGCAGTGAGGAAAATTCTAGAAACAGAAGCTAAAATTTTCCGGAGACCTTTTAATGGTAGGTATTGAAAGCATGGATTTATCTATGATTATTATTTTTGAATAGTAAAACATAAGCCTTTTAGAAAGTTAAACAATTTTTCTTACAAGCTTAACATGTTCTTTTGTGTTTGTGGTAATATTATTATAATTCCCTGTATTAATATAGACTATTAGTATCTTTTCTATGTATTAAAGTCATTCCTTTTCTTAAAGTAAATGAAAGCGATGGTTAAGAAGATATTTGAGATTATTTTTTTCCTGTTTCAGAAGATATTTGAAGCTTAAGATACAAGGTTAATATTTGATACCAGCTTTGTGTACAAAAGGTGTTTGGGGGATTAATTAGTCTCAAAATTTAATTTTAGAAAAGTATGTTACACTTTTGTCAGAGCTGCCAATATTAGCTGAAAGCAGCGCAATCTTTTTGTAACCGTGTGTCGCTGCTTTTTAGAGTAATTTAAAATAGGAATTTCAATTCATCTAAGAAACTGTGCTCCTGAGACATACAATCTGTTCTCATTTACCTATCTGTTAAATGGTTATAACAATGTGTACCTCCACTGTGGTGCTATGAAATTAATTGTTCAAGGTCAGAACCTCAAGAGTTGCTAATCATTTCCAGCTCCTGCTGGAAGCTGGCAATTCTGCTTGGTAAGTGCCAGCCAGGGTGTGTATGTGTAACATACATGAAATATCAACTTGGTGCCACTAAAATAAATCAAAACCATCCTATTAATTTAAGGATCAGCATTTTACTAATGCTATTCTGTCATTGTTTATTGTACTAATTTAATATTAAAACATTGCACTCTAAATGACTGACGACTTGTATTCAAATATAAAAGAAACTTTTTTTTTTTACTCAACAAATAGAAATGTGACTGTTAAAATGTTCATTAATAGTAACTTGGGTTTTATTTGTTTCCTGGTAAAAGAACAATTCAGCACATTTGATGGAGAAGATCATGAATGTGCCTTATGGCTCCTCTTAAAGAGAAGTCAGTCAGAAGACAAAGAGGTCCGGCTGCAGGCTGTACGAGACCTGGCAAACAACAGTCACTGGCATGGTAACGTATGCTTATATAGCCTGATTCATCCCAGAAATGTGACAAAGTCTCGGTTAGCTGTTGCATGAAAAAACATGAAAAAAGGCTAGTAGCTGCAAGTAGTGTAAGTATGCTCTGAAATTTGGCCTAAAATGTGGAGGTTTTGTTTACTTTTTAAGCAATTCTTTTTTCCCAGTACCCTGATAGAGAGCATGTCTCTGTAGTGCAAGCCTCTGTTTCCCCACCAGAGAATCGCAGCCACTGCCGTGGTGTGGGAGAGCAGTTCATGTTCATTAGTTCCTTAGCTCTTCTGTTGGGATGGCTAACAAATTCACTAGCTCTGGCAGATATTTTTATAAGGCTCTGTAGGGGAGTGGGTTGAAGGCCATGGTTCAGTTAAGAAAAATTGCTTAGGAGCTAATGGGTAGTAATGACAAACTAGAGGTAGAGGACTTGTATGTGCCAGCATTATTTGTAAGCCATTTTCCATCCTAGTTATTATTATTTAGTAGTAATAAGTTCTCCCTGTTCCTCTAGCAGTGAATATCCTTGAAACCCCAAGTAAAGGCGGGGGGGGGAGTGTATATGTGTGTCCTCCTTCCCCCTCCATCACTAGTCCGTATAAACTAGGTGACACTTTAATTTTAACTCTCATTATTCTGGTAGTCCAGTTAGCTGAGGACTTTTCGCTCTTCCAGTGGAATTCCACACCATGGGATTTATCTCGTTTCAGATTGTCTCTATAAAATTCTAATAAATTACCTCAAGCAGTTTACATCAAAAAGCTGTGTTTGAAAAACATTTGAAAGCTGGGATGTACCAAAACTGAAGCTATGTGTAGTAATTTAGTATAACTGTTTCGTGTTCTAGCTGTTAGCAGGTGATCTCAGTGCAGTACTAGCTGTTAGCAGGTGATCTCAGATAGCCAGTACTTAGGAATCTAGTTGGTTTTTGTTATCTCCTTTTCTCTGTAGTGCTCATTGCTGTAGTATTTGGATGTTTTGCAAACACTAATTATTCTTCACAACTACCTCATGAGGGAAACAGGCTTTTTTTTAACTTGATATTCCAAAACTGAGTTCAAGAAAGATTAAGACTGAAAATATGAGCTAACTTTTCACAGCTAGGACCAAATTGTTCAGCATATCTGCTGTTGTAAATACAGTAATTTGCTTGTCCAAAGCACAGCTTCAGTGACTTCAGTTTGCAGCTGTAAGTAATCTGCACCAAAGAAAAAAGGTCAATCTGTGACTGTTTGTGAAAAGTATATTTTAGATGGCTCATCAGTTTTGTTCTAGAATTGTGTAACAGTAACAAGGATAAAAACTGATTTTTATAGAAAAAGTACTGATCCACTTTAAGATTACATTTTCTTTTCCCTTGCTTTGCCACTTAATTTCAGTATGTAATTTTCAGTTTCTCCAGCTATAAAGTAGGTTTTGGAGAGGAAGAATAGTTACTGTTTAAGTCTGGTTCCTCTTCAGTAGGGTAACTGAAAGGCTGTCTTATATCTTCAGTAAGGAAGGGCTACTTAAAACTGTGCTGTGGTGCTACCCTGCCTTTTCTGATGTCACCTGATTTTTGTGACTTCAGCAATTTTATTGAAACACAGCTTTTGTATCATGTGAAATTAGGGGCGTCTGTCTTGGCAGCGTTTGGATTTAAGGCTATGGGTTTTAATACTGTATGCAGAAAAAAAATATGTGTATGCCTATGCCTTTCAAATTTTGACTCAGGCCCAGGGGATTAAGCATGGGTTTATAGTCCTTGTACTGCTTTCACAGTGGCAATACTGAACATTGGCTTTTGCTTGTGATCAACTTATATCTGAGGACCTTTATCAAACTGGTCTATAATGAACAATCGGTGCCCAGGTGTATTGCAGTTTAGCTGGTCTAACAACTGCGGTATTTGTCTTTTGGAATTTGTGATTACAAAATAAGCCCTTATTTAAGTAGGTTTCAGAGAGGTGGTTCTGTTTTCAAGTACATTAACAAAGTAGATCAGAAACTACTTTTAAAACCAAATAAAATATTTAAGGTTAGTTTTAACCCTAACAATGAAGTTCTTGTACTACAGATTATCAGTATGGTACAGTTGCCCAAACCTGTGATCAAAGGACTGCTATAGGTTTGGCTCGATCTAAAGATGTCGACCTTCGCTTTTTCCTGCCTCCCCCACCGTTGCCAAAAATAAAGAATGTAAGTAAATAGAAAGTAGGTATTAGATGATTTTTTTGCTTGCTTGTTTGTTTTTAGTGCTTTCATTCTTGGTAACCATACTAAAGTGGAGTTCTAAAGTAAGTAATCAGTAGTAAAATTAAGATCAAAATACAAAACTGTAATATAGTGATATACCTCTGGGGTATATCTGCATTAGTGAATGGCATGATGGAAAGAAGTAAAGATGGGGGTGGTGGTGATCAATTATTGTTCTTGGACTGTATGTCCGCATTACACATTTACCAGCAGTGAAGTTCAAGCCAGTCTGATGCATGCACTGCCTGTCTGTACCTAATAGGCAATGTGAAGCGGCTTTATATTAAGGCATCCTGGATTGCCTTGTTGATACTGACAGAACCTTTTGCACAGAGAGCACTCTTGGAGGCCTAGTGTGGTGCTCTTAGTAGTGCTCTGGCATGCAGCTTTTAACCTGGGCTATATGAATAGGGAAACCATTTTGAGTGCACCATGTGACTCCCAAGTACAGATACAAGGCAGATTTCCTGCCTGGAAAAATTCCTCCAACACGTTGAATCACTAATGTAGGCATACCCGCTTTCACCAAAAATACTGCTGTCTTCTCCTTTTGACATTTTAATCTACTTATCTGTGAATTTAGAAGTTACAGAAAGTGTTTGGAGATGAGCTTTACTATTGTTATTATTAACTAAGTTAAATTAAACTTCAGTTATCACAGTACTTGTTAGATTTCATTGAATAGTATTCCAACAGAAAATTCAGTAAGTATGATTTTTAGCTGCCGAAATGCTTGCACCTCGATACAGTAGCTGAGAATTAATCCGATAAGCAAATACGTAACATCTGGAACAGCTTTAAGTAATCCGTCTTAAATTCCCAAATGCCTCCAGAGACTGTGAGGTGGAGACCTGGCTCTTCCCCATCCTCTTTACTTACAGTAAGATCTAGCAGCCTTGTTTTCTTTATACCTAGGCCTGCTGTAGGCCCACCTCTTTATTCCCAGCTTTTGGGCACCAACAAATCCATATTGGATAGATTTGACCTTGTTTTGGTTTTAAGTTAATTAGTAAGAGAAAGTGTGTGTGTGTGTATATATATGATGGTTTGAGCAATCATGTCATATCAGCATCTCCAATAAATAGAATTGGCACATGAAGCGTAATATAAGAGGTCTTTTGTAGTGCTAATAGAATGAATGCTGGTAGAAGTCCCTGTCCCTTAACCAACAAAATGCTGAAAATTGGCTTTAATTGGTAGTGATATTCTCACTTTTTGGTTTCTTATCTTTGTAATATTACATGATGGTGGATCTGTACCTGTCAGTCCTGAAATACTAAAGTATACTAGTATATGGTTGTGGATATACTTTATTTTTACAGCAGTATGATTGCTGGGTGATTGAAGCTAAGACTTCCCAGTCTGCTGCTTAGGAAGTTGAAGGAAATCATTGTGGCAGCAAGTGTTGCCCTGCACATCAGAGATGTCTACATCTCTGATTGTAGGAGGGATTAGAATAACTGCAAGTTCCATGACTGTGGGCAAATAAAATTACTTTGTTAAATCTAATTTTACTGTCACCTATTCCGGATTATTAAATGAACATTTATGTTAATATTTAGAAGATTAAAGATTAAAAGAAGTGCTGTCTGTGTTTTTTACTAGTAGTTTGTACATTCATGTTAATGGAGCAGCACCAAAATTACTGTGTAGTTAAGAGTGAACTTTGAAGCTTCCTGTGCCAAGAACTGTTTTTATTTTGCCCTTCTGGACCTATTAGAATAAGATCACCAAAATAGGAAGTTTAAAGCTTACTTTTCATCTCTCAATTCGTGGTTCTAGAATTATCAGTCTCCAAAATCTTTACAGGTGTAACTATTAAATGGAAGTTGCAGAGCACTCAAATCCGGGGTTTCTATTTTATGGCCTTACTAATATGGCTGATTTGATTATTTCAGATCTTTCTGTGGTTTTGCTTCATGCTTTGAACAGAACTAAAAGCTATTTGTGCTTACTTCTAACAGGATTATCCCATAGAAGATGAACTTCGCTTGTTGTTAGTATCTTTACCTCAGACTGGCCTTGATCCTTGTGTCCAGTACTTCACATCTCTCGCTTTACGTGAAAGTAGTCAGACTCTTGCGGCACAAAGGGTGAGTTCCCCCTGCAGAACAGAACTATTTGGGTTCTTTTTTCCTGCAGAACTCAGATACAAACCTGTTTCCATGTTTTTAAGCATTATAAGAGGAAGAGAAATACAGAGACTTCGTGACTGTACAACATAAGTAAAATCTCTTACGGGTGTCAGTCTCTTCTCCCAAGTAACAAGTGATAGGGCAAGAGGAAATGGCCTCAGGTTGGGCCAGGTGAGGTTTAGATTGGATATTAGGAAAATTTCTTCACTGGGAGGGTTGTCAAGCACTGGAACAGGCTGCTCGGGGAAGTGGTTGAGTCACCATCCCTGGAGGTATTTAAAAGATACGTAGATGTGGTGCCTAGAGACATGGTTCAGTGGTTGGACTTGGCAGTGCTAGATGAACGGTTGGACTTGAGGATCTTAAAGGTCTTTTCCAACCAAAATGATTCTGTGATTCTATGATACAGTCTGTGTGCTCGAAAGCTTGTTTACCTTTACTTACAAGCCTCCCATAAAGTGGATATTTCAACATTTTGTCCACAACATTTCTTTCCGCTTGCAGGGCTCATAAAATAGTTTTTCACATTTCATCTTACCATTGTTTGAGTGTTCTTTTACTGCTGAGATGATTAAACCTCTGTTAAGTCTTAGTAGCAAACTGATAAATTGTTAGCACACCTTAAACTCTGTTATATCACATGGAAATGCCTCCCTGTAACAGATCAATGTAGCCAAAACCAGAATTGGAATAGCGTCATGGTCTGTCTGGACTTGGAACTTAGAAATTCTTCAGCTCTGTCTGTCCAACAGCTTCCTAAGTGGCTTTAGGAACATCATTTAAAGTGTTGTTATTGTTTAAAAATAATAATTGTAATGCCAGTGTCATCCACTCTCTCCTGTGCATTTTATTTTTTTATTAAAAAGTTGTGATTTTTTAAATTGGTGATTATTATTTTTTGAAGATGCAAGAATAAAAATTACTGTCATATTTTAATAATGATGCTTGACAGGTTTTATTTAGAGATTTCAGAGTGCAATAACTCTTTATTTCCTATGACACAATTATGTGTAATGTTTTTACACTATGACTCCTTCATTGTTTTCACAGCCAGAGCTCTTGATATGCAAAAGGAGCTTTGGTAAGAGACCACACTTGGAGGCATTTTGATAATCATACTCTTCTACAAAAAGGCTCTTTATTGAAGTTATGCAGGTTTTCCTACTGCATGATTGAGACAGACTGGTCTTTGGGGACTATGCTAAGTGTTGAAGACTTTTTTTCTTCCTGTTCTCTTTTTTTGCAACTATCGAAGTCTAGATGCAGTCTGATTCTTGCTTTTTTTTGCTTAAGTGAACAATCTTAAAAGAAGACATTCATTAACAAAATGAAAATCCTACATTTTCCCCCTTTACTGCGTGTTTAATATTTCTAGTTAAAAATAGTAGATATTTTTATGATGTACTGTTGTATAATTTGTACATTTTGAAAAATGCATGCTTGCTTGCACTCTATAGCAATTTCTATAGATCATTACACACTTAACATTTTAGTTTAGAAATGCTTATTTTATGTAGCCATTTGGAATGTGGTATCATTTTTACTGGTTCTCATTTCAGGGAGGCTTATGGTGTTTTGGAGGAAATGGACTTCCATATTGTGAAACATTGAGTAAAATCCCTTCAGAGACAGTGGAACTCTTTTGCTTGCAAGCTTTAGTGCAGCATTCTAAGGTAATTTGAAACTGAAACTGAAAAGCTACATTTATAAACATTCCTTTCTAATGCTTTCTCATATATTGGGAAGGAGTTGCCATTTCCTTGTCTCCTGCCCCTCAACCCTCTGTAGGGATGTTCAGACAGCTGAGACTGAATTGGAAGGCATGTAAGTCATGTTATTGTTTCCAATTAGCCCCTATAAGTTCCCCTGTAATATACCTGTATGTGTCCTTCAAGAAGGGGCAGCTCTGACACAGAAAAGCAGCAGAGAATGCCTGCAGTCCAGGTGGCTTTAACAAGGCTTTTTGAGTGCCCACTGGCACTCAAAGTCATGAGGAAACAGTGTTTCCACTCTGCAGCTTCTCAGTAAGCAAGATACTGATGATGTGAAATTCTCAGTGCAAAGTGCCCGTGGATTTGTGTGAGTTGGTGTACATCAGTTCAGAAAGCTTACAAGCGGCCTCTTCTTATGGCTCTTAATTGAACTCTAGTGCCAGGTTTCCAGAAAGCAAAGTAGCCTCATGAATTCAGTCTAATTAGAAGCCAGGATGAAATGCAAACCTTGGCTATTCACAAAGGTCCCTCCTTCAAGGGTCACTGCCTTTGGGCAGGATATTGCACAGCATGCAGCTAATACAGTGCATCTTCCCAGGACCAGTATGTTGTTTGCAGACGTGGATGAAGAATATGGAAGATTTTGTGTAACAGTGATTCTTCTTGTTGCTTGCTGTTGCACTCTTCAGTGTGCACTTAATTGCTCAGAAACCTAGAACACCGAGAAATAGCATTGCGAATACCAAATTGTTATTGGTAGTAGGGATGGATAAAGTGCAGTTTGCCAGTATTCCTTTCCTATCTTCCATATACGTAGAAATTCTGAATTTATGTTCCAGATTTTCATTTTAAACAAGTTGTTACTACTCATTCCAAACATCTGTCTTTGTTGAAAGCCTCAGACTTGAGGACATCAGCAGTTCCATGACTGCCACACATTTTTCAGCACTGTAGACAACATGTTCAAGTTACAAACATTTGGCCAATATCAGTAGTTGACACTGCAACTAATTAGTGCATATTCATCTGTTTGGACTAGAATTTATTGTTGCCCTTAAGATCAATAATGATAGCAGTACTATTTGGACAGTAGAAATACCTCTGTATTTCAAAGAGAAGGGATTATAATGATTGCATTTTTAGGTGGTGAACAGGAAGACAAGTAGCTCTGGTTGAGATAGTGCTTTAACAAATGCAGACAATTGTCCTGTTCAGACTCTGGAACTGTAGCTGAAATTTGATCATGCCAAGTGGAGAGCAATCTCATCTCCTTCAGATGTGGAAGAGAGTAGAGTGATGGTACTCAGCATCTTTCAGGTTGTAAATCCATATAAATCATGCATTTAGCATATTAAAATATTTACTTCCTCTTCAACTACGGCATAATAAATTCTAGATGAATAAGAATTTCTATGTAATAAGGTCTCTGCATCATACTGGCTCTTTAAAATTCCCTAATCTGTGAATTAACAGCATCTCAAAGAACCTTTTACAGAACATCTACTTATTGTCATTGTATTTACTGTACAATGCTAGGTTTCTTCTCACTGTGATAAAATTGAAGCTAAAGGAGGCCTTCAGCTACTACAGAGGATATACCAGCTACGTAAAGATTCAGCAAAAATACAAAGGAACATCATTCGCATTATTGGAAATATGGCTTTGGATGAACGTCTTCATTCATCCATAGTACGTGCAGGTAAAAGGAAAGCAAATGCAAGCAGTCTGAGTGTCAGATTTCTATGCTAAAATTTTCAGTGGATTCAGTGCTTTTGTGTAAAATGCAGCGGACCATGGCAATGGTGTGGGGTTTGTATTTGGGGGGGTGGGGAGGTGGTGGTGTTGGGTTTTTTTAATAGGAAAAAATATAGAAAATTTAGACGGCGTTGATTAAGAACTCCTGTATGCTGCCTAGCCAATATATGTCAGTGCCACAGATGTGTTCTAAGTCTGATGGATGGTGAAAATTTGGACAATTTGGACTTGGTTGATGTTCAGTTCACATTACTGGCAAAAGTCTTTTGAGTTTCCTACTCTTACAGATCATCTACCTTGTAGATTTTTTTAATTTGTTTTTTAATTGACTGTGGTTTAGTCTCCTAAAGGAACAGACCAGCTTGCAGTCCTTACCTTCTGGAATAAAGTGAAACATACTTTCTTGCCCTCCCTTGTTTCGTGTTAGGCTAGTAACATTTGCTGAGCCTTGCTCTGATGCCCCCTTTTTAATACACCCTAAATAGCAGGATGGAATTATTCCTTCTAGTTCTGTACCAAATAAATAATTCCAAATGTTTTACTAGGAAAAAAATAAAAATAGAAAATATCAATATGCTGTTGTATACATCCGAGCTAGTGTCTACCTCATTTTTAATCTCCCTGTTGCAAAAAGGAGAAATAGCAAAGGCACAGGGAAAGATTGTGAGGGTGATTAAAAAATTTGGAATAGCTGTGATAGAAAGAACAAATAACTAGACTAAGATACTTAGTTTGGAAAAAGCAACTGAAGGAGAATATGACAGATTTATAAAATCCTCACTGGCATAGAGAAGGCAAACAGGGAATGGTCATCTGCTGTTTCTCGTAACGCAAGACCAAAGGTTCTTGTACATTAATTTATCAAGAGGCAGAACATATAAATGTATATTTTTTTCCATACAGTGCCTGACCAAACTAAAACTTGCCACAAGACATTGTGGTTGCTGATGACTTACAAAGCTTCAAAAAGTGATTAGACAAATTAATGGAAAGAAAAATCTATAAAGCTCTACATACAGAAGCCAAGTTGATTGTAGAAAGTTGAGAGAGTGTAGTGGTGAATCAGCATTATGCACTTGCTCTTTTGTTGTTCTATTCTTGTATTGTTCTGCAACTTCCATTACCGTTCACTTTTTGAGAAAGACAGTGGACTACAAAGGCCTTTGGTCTGAGCTCTAGCACCATTCGTACATTCTTATGATGACTACTAAAACCATACATATAGAGGAAGAGATTTTAAGAGCAAAGTCAGCAGCTCCCTGGGGCAGAACTCTCAGTACAAACACAATTTTAGGCAGTAAACTGGACTCCAGAGCGGAGTGGTTGAATGCTGCTGGTCAAGAGTTGATAAAGACTTCCCTTGTGTTGCTGGGTGATACATAAGAAGAAAGAACCGCTAAGGCTCGTTTTCTTTGCAAAAACTGCCAGCACAAGAAGAGGAGGAAAAGCAATGATGCACTGTGTAGTAGCTGTGATGTGGTGTCTGGGGACAGAAGGATTCTGAGCATTATTTTTGACCCTTCATCTTGGCTCATTTAAGAGAAAAATATCAGAACCAGAGACCTTGCTAGTTTTAATCAGACTAGCTTGGCAGTCTTTCATTTTATTTGGGGAACTGAAAAAAAGGTTTTAGGTAGAATTCTTCTTAAGGAGAACTTGCACAGTGGTCAACATCTATTCTGCTTAGAAATGTAATTTAAATACATAATTCTTAAAATAACTGACGGTTCTCAAAGGTACTTGCATTTAAACAAAAGTCACGTGTCAGTTATTTTCGTAATTCCACAGTGAACAAACTGTCTTGAATTTGAAACTTACTGGCTATACTACTAGCAATGTATTGTGTGTGATTTTGAAAGTGCTCATTAAGTAAATTGTTTCTTCTTTTTTTCAAATCAGCCTCCCATTGAAAATCTCTCTTCACAGTCTTCCCAGGTTTTATTTATGAACTCAGCTTTAATATAACTGTGATTTACAGACCACCCTTGCTAAGCAGCAACAAGATTTATCAGGATTTTAAAGAAATATATATGTGTGTGTGTGCGCGCGTGCGTATAAAAGATATTCCTTTGCATTTCTCACTAATCTATGAACATCCTCACCCATGTCTAAGAAACTATATTTTACACCTTAGGTAAGGTATTATAAAGTGTCTGTTTTTTCTTAAGGTAGCTATGACTTAAAATTTCATTGAGGATGGTATTCAAAGGTTTCCTTCCTTAATTTTCTTATGCTGCTTAGCTATAAATAGTATACTATTTTTAGAATAGTGGGGACATTTTAATTCCCTAAACAGCTTTTCACATACTGGATTTTAAAATTAGAAATGGTTGTACTCTCGAGCAAGCATAATTTCTTTTCACCTACCATTACTCCCGTGGGTTGTTTTCTGTGTCTTTCATATGCTTTAAGCTTCATTTTCTCTGGGACATTTCTTTTCTCTCTTTTTTTGCATCTTAGCTGCAAAAAGAGACTTGAGATCTGTTCTTTCTCTAACAACTGCCCTGACCTACTGATACACTTTCTTTTTCTTCTGAGAAGGGGTTCTCCTTCAGATCATAAATACATTGCCTCCCGCCGGTCTGGATTTTTGAATTTTGGAGGTTCGACTTACCTAGCATTGCCTTTTCTGCGGTAAAGTGGATTGAAATAATTTGCTTTGATGTTACCATTCTTAAGTTTTAACATCTGTTTTCAGAAGTATACTTTGAAGGATGATGTTTCTGAATTCTTTTGTTTGGATGACTAATTAGATAACCTGCCACTTTATTTTTTTCAATGTAGGGTGGGTTTCTGTACTTGCTGAAGTAATGAAATCTCCACATGTCATTCAGTCTTCTCATGCATCCAGAGCTTTGGCTAATCTAGACAGGGACACAGTGCAAGAAAAGTATCCAGATGGTGTTTATGTCTTACATCCACAATATCGTAGCAGGTAAAGCAGAAGAAGATATTGTACATGCTGTAATTTTGGGTTGCTTGTTATACTGTTCAGGTACAAAACTTTGGAAGAGTTGACATCAGAGTGCTGCTGTATTGATGTCACCTGGTCCTTCTGTTCTTTGGTGGGTTGATAGGACTGAATTTAGATTCTCAAATAGGAGAACAATGGAAGTGCTCGGAGCAGTCCATAGCCATGAAAGGGGTATTACTGTGTTGCATGAAAAAATCCAAACAAACCATGAGATGAATTACTGCTTTGCATGTGTTGCAACCATTTAACCTTTGCACTGGCTCTCTTGGGATACAGTGCCTTGTAATTATGCTACTGGGAGCAGCACATGTGGGCCTAAGATGCAGGAAATTTACAGCTTCAGCTTCTTTTAATAGTGATTGTGTATCTGGGACTGAAGCAGTCTCCAACATGGTATGTCACTTAGGAGCAACTATTCCCTGGGTCATTGGTGTTAGTCAGGTTACAGTGAAGATCTAATTTGATGATAAAGCTAGAACTGCCGAGTTGCCTTAACAGTAGGTTGAGAGAATGGTGTTTTTCATTATAGAAAATTATGACTTGTGGGTACTTTCCTACGTCTTTTTATATCTCTCCCTTCTGGTTATATCCTTGTTTTTTATCTTGATCTGATTATCCTCTTTGAAATATCATGAAATGTCATGGACTGTTGTCCATGAGGTAAGAAATCACATATAGTATTAAAGTAGCATTTTGGAATCCCCTAGGTTAAAAGTTCTGCATGAATTTAATTTGCTAAAAGAATACGTACCATGCATCTCTTAAAAATTCCTTTTTCTCTGTCAGTCAGCCCGTCAGAGCAGACATCCTTTTTGTTCATGGTCTTTTGGGAGCAGCATTTAAGACCTGGCGACAGCAAGACATTGACCGGCGTTTGCATGAAAAGACTTCAGAAGGGGAAGAGGACTATAGCCAGTGCTGGCCAAAGGTAAAAAGACAGTAACATCTTCACATGCGGCCACTGTTTTCTTATTAATGAGACCTGTCCAGAGGATCTAGAATTACAGTCTGGCAGTTGCCTATTTTGAATCAAATTACTTTCAATCTATTATACAAATAGCACTTTCTAAGTTCCTGATACCTTTTCATTAGCAAGCTGAAATTTTGGATAGGTGGTTCTTGCAAAGGAAAATCCCTGCTAAATTTAATGCTGTCAGCATCATTCTTCTACTAATGAAAGAGACGGCAATGGCTGTTTTCCTCATGCTCTTTTATTTTTTTTTTAAATGCAATGTTATTGCTGAGAAAGACATACAATGTCATTTTAAAATAAGTATGCTTTCTTACATGGGTATCCAAGTACCTCGATTTTTGCAAATTGCTACTTAAATATTATTGGTAAATAAGTAATTACTGCTTCAAGCAACCCACAGTGCTATAGCCACCAAAGTATCTCTGTAAAACTTAAACTGATCAGTCCTGTTGGTAATCTTGGTAATTCTTGTTTCACCCAGGAGAGGGAGCCAGGAATGCATGAGTTAGTAATCCATCTCCATCCATTGCCTACTTTATGGCTGGGGAACTGACTAGAGTTCACCAGCCTGTAATAAAAGAATAATAGTCTAGGTGTAAGATGTGTTTGGGGATTAACTGAAGAGCAGAAATCTTGTGTGATGTTGTCCCCATAGTAACATCTTTGCTCCATTGCTGATAAATTGCTTGCAAGAGTTTAAGTAATTCAATTATAAACTCCTTTTGGTTTCATTTTGCTTAATTTAGACATGGCTGGCTTCAGACTGTCCTGCCCTTAGAATCATATCTGTGGAATATGACACCCATTTGAGTGACTGGAAAGCAAAATGTCCTGTTGAGGCTCACAGGTAACAAATGAAGTGTCTGCAGTTTGGAGAGGGGGCAGGAAGGAGACCTGTGAAACTGATCCTTGGGATCACGTGGTGTGAAACAGTGAATTTAACTTTAACTTTTGTACTTGAAAATGAACTTTGGAAAAACATTAGGTACAGTCATGGTATATGTGTCCTTTTTAGCCTTACGGATAAGTACTTGTGGCAACTTCTTAAATTCTTGCAGTCTGTTCTGGCATGTAAACAGGGAAAAAATAAGGAAGACGTGGCTGTCAATAGGCCTGTTTGAAATTAGGCGGAACAGTGACAGTAAAAACCATGTAGGTGGTCACCTCTACCAGAGAACTTTTATCCTGTGTCCATCTGGAGTAGGTATAATGAAATAAAATTTGAAAAAGAAATAAAGGTATATTTATTTATTTATTTTAAGATAATGTCTTTTTCATTACAAAATGGAAAATTACATTACCTGCTACTTATGGTCACCCAAGCATAGTATTTGATTATTTTATAATTTGATATGGTTAATAAAAAATGAAAGATATTCAAGACATTTTTAACTAGCAGGAACAAAGAGGTAGCAGTAGTATCACAACCTTATGATTGCTCCAAGTATGGGGGCTCATTCACTGTTTCAAATGGGAATTTTCATGTCCCTCAGCTATCCTAAAGCCTATTGTTCAGCTGAAAAGACACATTTGAGTATCTTTTTCATATGTGTTATAATAGCAATTTCTAGCGAGAATGCTGAGAAGCAAGAGAGATGAAGTGAATTAGACTCTGAACAGTGGTTGTCCCAATATCCTGATGTTTCCATTATCCAAGGGTCTTGCTGCAAGGAGTAACAATATTGCACTTTAAAGCTTAGATTGGGAATTGGCATTTGTTTTGTTTTTGTTGTACTGCAGATTCATTTTCAACCTTTATCCTTTCCAGGGCTCAGTCTCTTCATTTATAAATTGGAGATTATTGTACTTTTATGCTACTTCAATACAAAGCATTTGGAGATTATTGTCTGGAAAGTATAATGGACATTATCTGTGATATTTTAATGTATTGGTTGATCATGCATTTAGTTATTAATTTCCCGTACGTTGCTCCGCATTTTGAGCATTGTTTAGCAAAGTACGTTTTTGTCAGACATCAGATATATTCTTGTTTCAGGGGATAAAGTTCACTATGCATCGATGATAGTTTCATTTACACATTGAAACAAAATGATCTTTTCATATTATGAAAGTATCTAAAAACCCATAAAGAGATTTGTGGAACTAAAGCTAAAGGAAATGAGTAGTGAGTGAAATTAAAACAAAACTTTCTAGCAAGATCAAGAAACTGAATTTAGCGCAATTCCTGTTGTCCTTGTGAAGCCAAGCTTAGAAGAGTTTTTGGCATTTGTCAATGTAGCAACAATAATTAAGCAATTAATGGTTTATGTACCTAATTCACCTTCATAAATGTGCAGCACTGAAAATTCATTCTGTTTTAACATTGCCTTTTAACCTATCATGCTTTGTCATGCTTGTGTTTGATTTTTCTTTGCAGGAAGTCTATTGCTTACAGGAGCAATGAGCTGCTCAACAAGCTCAGAGCTGCTGGGATTGGAGACAGACCTCTGGTGTGGGTATCCCATAGCATGGGTGGTAAGCACATTGCCTGTTTGATATAAAGTGTATATCTGCCGTTATACTTCAGAATAAGCTGCTAGCCACATTCAGGCTGAAATGCAATTATTCAGAATAGCTTATCTAAAAAATTTGCAAAGACCTAAAAATGCAAAATAGATTTGTACTTTCTTAATGCATTATATTCAGTAGCACATGCATTTCGAAAGGATTTTTATTACTGGGTTTTTTTATTGTGTTGATTTAAAAACACTAAATCAATGAGTGGAAATTCATACAAATGGGAATCCAGAGGCAAAATTTTCTCCGTGATCAGGCATATAGTAAATGTCATTAGCAACACTTAAAGCAAACCAAAATTGGATTTGCATCATTCATTGACGTTTTATTTTAATGCCTTCTCAGGTTTTGTTTGGGTTTTTTTTCAACTTAATCTTACATATTTGACAAACTAAGGACTAATCAACTGAGGCAAGAATATGGTTGGTTGTTTCATGGATAATATAGCATGATTGTTATTTTCACAGTGGTTTAAATCCCTGCATTAATTCAGTTTCCGTTGCCAGGTCTTCTAGTTAAAAAGATGCTGGTGGATGCTTCCAAGAATCCAGAAATGGATAAAATTGTAAACAACACCAGAGGAATCATATTTTATAGCGTACCTCACCATGGTTCCCAGCTGGCTGAATATTCTATAAATGCCAGATATCTTCTCTTTCCATCTGTGGAGGTTAAAGAACTCAGCAAGGGTATGCTCACTTTGCTACCATTTAACAGCAGGGATCTATGCTAATCTGTTCATGATGCTTTTTTTTATCGTGCTGTCACGAAAAAAGCTGGATAAAAACAACAAACTCCCTTTTTATGTTTTGGGTTGCATATTGAATTACTGTAAGTAATTCTGAGTAACTGTTTCATTTGTTTGCAGAGGTGAGGGGAAAATAGGGACTCGGAACAAGTTTCTAACAAGAGTAGTTTAGGCCATTTAGGAATGTAGTAACTCAACGTGTGCTGGACATTAAACTCTTCTACATAAATTCCATGCTATGCTGAAATAAACAGTGGTTACATATGATAGCTGGAAAAAGGGATTACAAACAAAATGGCACTCCTTTTACTGGAGTACTAATTTTTCCAAAACATCTCTTTAGGAATGCAGTCTTGCCAGACAAATGCTATAATCTTTTGTTCAAGATAACACTGCAAAAATTATGTTGCTTTTTCTCAGATTCTCCTGCCCTTAAAGAGCTGAATGATGACTTCCTGTCTTTTGCCAAAGATAAGAAATTTTCAGTGCTGAGTTTTGCAGAAACCTTACCAACACACATAGGCAGCATGATAAAACTGCATGTCGTACCTCTGGAATCGGCAAGTAAGTCAAATAGCCATTTAATTTATTTAATTTTGTATATGTTCATGTAAGCATCAATAATGAGGAAGGATTATAAATGCTACGGTAGAAAGACCTAGAAAAAATACCTCTGTTATGTTGTGAGGGGGTTTGTTTAAACTTTTGGCTGAGTTTGAACTACAGTCGCCCTGCTGAGATCAGACACAGCTACATTTATATCTTAGAATAGTGGTTGTTTTGACTTTTCTAAATGTGAGTAACGCTTGCTTGAAAAAAGCAGGGTAGACCCTGGTGTAACATTACATTGTTGTAGTCCTTTCCTTTGTAATTATGAGTAACTGTTGTTTATCCTTGTATAGGTAGGCTGAATAGTGTTTCAGAAGCTCCTGCAAATTCCAGCTATTTCCTCCTTTAAAAAATAAGAAAGAAAATTAGCAAACTGCTAATGGAAGGAAAAAAGTCACAAAGCTGTTTTTCAATGTTGAGTCCTTTATCTTCCATGGCTCAGGTACTCAAGCAACAGAGTTTACCTCCTGAAGAATTTCCTCCATCTTTTTGCCTGTTGTAGGAGAAGGGAACACCAGACAGTTCTTTCCCTTGCCTTGTTTATGGGTGTTTTAAGTCTGATATTTTCACGTTTTCCCTGGGCAAAACCTTCTTCTGCACTGCCCAAGGTACCTGTAAGGTACTATCACTTTGCTGAGTTTTAGATCAGGCTTTCCACCAGCTAAATCCACTGGGTTACATGCAAGGTTAGTTGCTCTGAAAGAGGCAGACTATACATCCCTGTTCTCCCGAGTCAATATTTAGCAGTACTTTTTCAGTATGTCTTCTCAACAAGCAATTGTTTGTGAAAATGTTGCTGATGCAACTGTATTGACGAGGACTGAAAAACCGGGCACTTGTTTTTTTGATTTCACAAAACAAAATGAAAAAAAGGGCTAGATAACAGAGTGCACAGATAAGCGTTGTACACTTATAATTTTGTAGCTTATTTCTCCTCTTCTAGAGGTGACGCACAGTGCAGCACATGAGCTCTCTTGAAAGCCTTTAGAGGGTACGTGACCGTTCAGTGGCACACAACTCATTTTGTTCAAAGCCCAAGCTGACAAGCAGTACACTCACTGTTTCTTACACGCATGCCTGGGCACGTGAAAGCAAACCTTCATCCTGCTTTACTGTAATTTTACATGGTTAAAGATACAGAGTTCCAAGCAAAGTGGAGGATTTCTCAGGAGGTTTAGTGAATAGATAATAAACTGGAATGTGGCAGTCACAGCATCCCAACTGGAAAGTTCACTAGTAGTGATAGCTGTCAGGAAAGAGTAAATGCTGTAGTGGACCCCAAAATCAGTAGCTGAAAATGGAATACTTGTATTCTGCAATTAAGCAATGTAAATTTTTCACCTCCCCAGAAATGTGTGTAGTAATTTCTGGCATATTTCAGGTTCATTCTAGTCCCATTTTTAATTTCTACATCAAAGTATTTTTATAAGGAATATGGGCAATTAGTGGTGATCAGAATCTGGATACCCTGGATTAAACCCTATCCGTGTTCATGTCAAGGCTTAAACTTCAGTTAGGAGTTTGCTGTCAGTCAGGTGTTGGTAAAGGAAGTTCTGATTCTTCAGAGTTGTCTGTATGGAGAAATGTATATTTGTGTATTCCTAATAAAGGTAGTAGAACTCTGACCTAATGGTTAACCAGTGTGGGTTTTGTAGCAGTGTATAGCTCTGACTACAACAGTGTGTATTGATGCTGTTAGCACATTAAAAAATAATGAAGACAAAACAGTTAAGCTGAAGACAGGAGGAGTTGCTTTTGAGAGAGAAATTGCTGATGCAAAATATGCTTTTCAGTCTAGGTGATCTTACAGACTTTAGTAGGTTTTTTTTCTTCATCCTTTTTTTTTTTCTTCTTCTCCCAGACTTAGGAATTGGAGACCTTATTCCAGTGGATGTTAATCATCTAAATATTTGTAAGCCAAAGAAGAAGGATGCTTTCCTGTACCAACGTACATTGAAGTTCATTCAGGATGTTTTAGCCCAAGAACTTGGAGACTGAGTTTTTGCCATCCTTGACTGCTTACTGCCTGCATTTGGTGTAACACAGTAAGTTCTTCTAACATTTGCTAGGAGATCTGCAGAACTGCAAAGATGCTATGTCAGTAGTATCTGCTGCTAAAATAATTTTCAGTGCATCTCCAACTTAGACACTTCCCCAACTTATTTCTAAAATGTATTCAAAACAAATACAAACTGAAGTCCTGTAAACTTGGCAAAAAGAAAATGAGCATTGGCTTAGAGGAACCGTGATCTGTCAACAAAATATGTGTAAATTCTCCAGCAACTTCACTGGGAGGGGATGGGGGATTCAGCCAAAGAGAAGTTCCACTTAGTGTACAGATATCCCTCTGGAGCACACAACTAGGCTATGGAGAGTGCACAGGATATCTTCTTTTAGCAAAAATAAAATAAAAATGAAGCTTGCTCTGGAAGTTGGTGGTCTCATTACAGTAAATACGCATCTGGGACTGAAGCCTTTTAGAGAGGATCAGAAACAACTAACTGAGGTGGTTATTTGTTGTGTCAAAAGGGAGAAGCAGCATGTGGCTGCCTCGGAGCTTTGACTTACTGTCCATGTTAAGTGGTCTCACTGGAGCCTGAGGAAGTTTATCCAGGTGAACAAAAAGGTACCATTTTGGTCTAGTGGCCCAATTACAGGAGTTTTTGTAACTTGCCTTTCCATTTAATAGACCACCCACATTCGTCAGCAAATACGGCATCTGTTTTCTGCAGGAGAAAGCGATAGGTTGGTAGGTTGTCCTGGGTAGATGTGTTACTCATTTAGAAGCTTTTTCTTGAGCTGATTTAAAGAAGAGCACTGAAAATGCTCAAGTGGGGTAAGACAAATGTAGGCCCTGACAAGAAAGCTGATGCTTAGAGTTTGGAGCTCAGGTAGAGAAAAAGTAAAGCAGGGAAAAATTCAGGTGATCATAAGTTCCCACTGGAAGTGCAGAAGATCCCAGACGTTTTGGTTTCTTGAGGCCCAAATGTATTTATTGGTGCAGAGATAGAGGAAACCAGCAGTGTTGTCTTATTTGACTTTGTGTTAAGGATACCTTAACAGTACTGATGAGAAATAAGTATTTTTGGGGAAAAAAAATGGCAGCGCTCGGTCACTTTTTTAAAGTCTTAGATAGTTTGCAATGTAGTTAAAAGCAGCCTAGTCTAATTGTGGTCTCTTTCCTTCCTTTCTTTCCACCCCCCACCGTTTTTGAAAACAGCTGTAGGCTATGATTAGGCTATACTGCCCTAGCTGACCGTTTGTTAAATAAAGCCTGTATTGATGACAGGCTTAAGGCATCTCTTAGTATCACTTCTGTGAAATGGATCTAATACTACTGGCCTTAAAATGACGGCTAGGAAAGCTACCAAAGAGGTGGGATGCGCCTTGCCGTTCTCTGTGGGCTTGGTGCAGGTGCCAGTGGCCGTTGCAGGCCTGCCAGGTCCTGAGGCCACCTTAGCTGGTCTCACTTCAGAGCACTCCAGCCCAGGAGGACACTACATCTGAAATTACACTTCTGGGAGCTGAGGCTTGACCTGCTGGAGTTGTGTACTAAAACTCCCAAGAGCAGTACGGAAAACGTACAGCACTACACTGGCAAAAAGAACATTTTTTTCCCCCCAACGGGGATGTAGGTGAGAGCACTGCATGGCAGTATTTCAAATAGAAGATGTAACAGAACTGTCCTAACTTCTAAAGAGGTTTACCCTTTTTACACTGTGATTTAAACTTCAGTGTAAATTTATGAGAACACTTTGTATTCACAAAGTAGAGGGAATGTGGAATTCATTGCGAATAGACAAGACTTGTAATAATCGAATGCGTGTTTAGTGTGACAAATCTTGTATTGATTTTAACAGACTTCTTTGGCTTACAGGGATTCGTCAGATCAATGACATTATACATTAATCTCAGTAAATGCACCTATGTTTTGTTACTGTAACTGGAACTCTTGAAGCAACTTTCTCCTTTTTGTAACTGTATGTATATATGTGTAACTTTTAAAACGAATATTTTGAGGGGGGGATTGCTTTTGGTTGTTGTTTGTTGTTTGGTTTTTTTAATATAGTAATGAAATGTGTTTTCAAAAATGTACTGGATGTGCCACAAAATGTAGTAAAGGTGAATGATCTGCCAAAATTAATGCTCTAGATTGTGTTCGCTTTTGTTAAAGACCTGCATTATTTTTTAGTGATTGTCTCATGCTGGAAGAATGTACCATTTACAGAAAATGAAGGGTAAGAGACATACTACTGGAGAGCGCGGCCGGTCATCACTGTTTTGCCAAACTGAACAGTTTTTCAGTTGTGCTTTTAGGTTTTGCGGAAGTGTCCCCTAAAGCATGCAGAGACATTGCTTCAAGGGCCAGAGGCTCTGTTCCATAGCATTCATGTCTGCTTCCCATTAGCAACTTATGCTTTCATGCTTCCCTGGTGTCACATCAATTCAGAATAGTGCCTTCATGTAAAAGGTCTCAAAGTATGCCCTTAATCCCAGCTGCAGCTGTGGCTATCTGCTACGGGTGAATTGTCTGAGAAGGTGGTATTTCATCTGCATTGTGGCATCCAAGACTAAAATAGTAAAACAGGAAGGGCGGGCTAATAGGAGTTTGTTGGTCCTCTTGCACTTGTTGTCCAGCACTCTTGTATAACTGTATTGGTACTTCCTGTAGCAACAGTCATCACGTTTTTAATTGCTGTGATTACAGTAGTACAAACTGGCTTTCGCTATGATTTGTGCTCCGTGGTGCCAGGCAGAGCAGTTAGCTAGAAAGGAGAAATCTTCCCATCTGGTGAAAATGTCAATTCTGGACAAAAAGGAAAAAGCAAATATGCTGTTTCGTTGGAGTGGAAATTCTAAACAACATTTTGGTTTTGTTTCTCTTTCTGTTTGTTTCAGTGATCACCCACGTAACAAAGCTGAATCGGGCAGTTGCTATACCAAGGAGAACCACGTACCACCCCCCACACAAATGCAGCTGAACAACCAGCATGCCTGTAGCAACTGAAAGTTGCTGTTCTACAGGGTCCTGGGCAAGTTCACATGGAGTTAGTCTCTTGCCAAAGGTTCTCATGTTAAATAAGCACACAGACGCTTGTATACATGCATCTGGTAAATCATACCTGGCTTCACAGCCAGTGTCAACAATTTTAAGGTTTCCAAGTGGGTTCAGAACATGAAAAATGTGATGGGATAACCACTCCCTACCACCCATTATATGGCCCTCAAGACTGTTGGCTGTCACTGAGAACACTGTTTTCCACCGATAATGTCTCAGTGAGAATGGGCAGCAGAGCTGAGAACATCCACTTGGCCGGGGTGCTGGGCACCAGTGTGCAAGGTAATATATTGAGACAGGAGATCCCTCATTCTTTGCCATAACCTTTTTCAGCTGGACAGGCTGTTCCTTTCCCTTGATTTGCTGCCATTGAACAGTATATGCCGTCACTGATGGTATAAACCAGCTAGCTGCTGGGATTCATACTTCAGTGGGCAGCTTGCCACGTACGTAGACACAAGATATAATGCTAAAGGCCAGATACTTCTCTTATTCAAGGAGAGTAATAAAGCAGATTTTATTTGACTTGTATAAATCCACTTTAATTGGCTTTCCTGCTAACACTTTCATTAACATGTAAATTAGCTGTCCTAGAGCTGTTAATTATCTTTGCAGAAAATGTTGGATATGGTCATATAACGTACTCTTTCTTTTTTACTGCTCTTAATGTTTTATACTGAAATGTGCCCATAAATATTCACTGTATTTTTTTTTTTTAAGAGGAGGACGAAGAGGCTAAGGCTCTGT